TCCCGATCTGAATCCAGCTTGGTTAGGACGCATTCTGCTGTCTCGTGTTATCATGAGCCTATTTAGCAGAAGGGAAACAAATTTTTCCGGAAATGTCCACTAGACTAATTCAGAGCCGATCGAGCCTTTTCCGACATGACAATCGTTACGCCATTTCGCCCCGAGTTATGCGAATCATCACTATGATATAGCCAATCTTTGCTCGGAACCAGGTTTAATAATTACTCGGGAGTCGACATGAGGAAGACGGACCTCTGACAAACAAGCCACATCCACGCTGTATTTGGAGAGAGTGTGGATAGTGATCGCTTGTCTTGCGAAACCCATAAGCGTTCTGACGTTCCAAGCAACTATAGCTAGCACCTCACCACGCTTAAAAAGTGTACAGAAAATTTAGCAATATGAAATTTTGGGTGGAAGCACAGCAATTTTCACTTCCAATATCTAATTTTACAAAATTCCTTCGGGAATCCGTTCCACTGTGTTTTTCTGTATAGATTTAATAAATTTCTTACCACGTGAGACTTTTATTTCTCAACAATATTATAAATTCTAAGGCCAGCGTTCTCTTCTTAATTATCTCGTTGCGAACCCTCAAACTTGGGTAATTAAAATGTTTATTAGTAACGACGCAAATATGTACAAAGAAGGCAAAACGAAATTGTCCTATCACAAAAAAAATAATATAGTAAGTAAAACCAAACACAAAAATATTCACCCGTCGCTCCTCACTCCTAGTCCCAACAGAAGCATGCCAAAAATGATCTTTTGAGGGCTTATATTTAATTTGAGATGGGCGGGAAGATTTATGGCTTTTAATCCTCTCAAAATAGAAGCTATATTATACCTTTCACTTGTGAGGTACTCTACTATTATTCCGTGATATTTTTTAACATCTCTAATTTTTTTCTCCCTTATTTTATTAATGCTTTTGCTGAGTAGAGCAGGTGTGTTGCGGATGACCTGCTCATACTTGCAGCTTTTGTCACCAATCTGCGACACAAAGTGTTAACGGATAGGTTCTCGCTTCCCTTGACGGATTTTGAGCACTTATGTTCGCGAGTAAATTCTATGTTTGATATTTTATTATTATTATTATTACTATTATTATTAACGTTATCACGCCTGGATTGTATATTTATCGCATGTACCACCGGGTCAAAAGTAGTATGTGCGTCAGGAAACGCGGATTTCATGTCAAAGAAATCTGACCCTTTCACAGTAGAATCACTTAGGGATAAAAATACAGGTGGGTCCCCAGCAGCCACCCGGATTTTTGACATTATGACAGGTTTACTCCTGTCAAAGATAGAGAAATAGAAATAATTAAATTAGATTTAGAAGGAAAAATTCAAAGATAAAAAAGTTTTAAGAAAGAAGAGAAGAAAAAAATCGATGATAACAAACAGTAAGTAGTAAATTATAGTGATTAGAACAGTTTTATTAAATATATTGATTTTTCTATTGAATGGTGAGTAGAGCACTTTTATAGCACAACTGCTCATGAAAAGCAACGATCAAAGAAGCGAAATTAACTCTTGGTGTTTATATCATATTTTCTAGTAACAGAGGCCGTGATTTCAATTTCTCTATAATATTAAGAGAATTTATATTTCCAGATGAAACATCACTGCTTACCTTTTTCGGAGCCATTCTAAATCTCCTATTCAGGTGTGAATACGATATGAAAAATAAAATATTCCTTTTTAGAGCAGAAATATGTAAGATAATGTAGCTTTGTACTAATTGACTGATATATTGTTATTCATATAAATTTTTAAAAAACTTCACAGCAAAAATATAAAATATAACTAAATAAAGAGAACAAAATCTGAGAGACTGCGCACAACTTTGATGAAATTATGTTTTATCGCCTAATCAGCCGTCGCCTCCATTTTCGAGACCATATTGCTCCAGAGACTCCTGATATTGAGCTTTTTCGGACAGTTGGAGAGTTGCTTCCGATACCCAACTAGCGCACTTTCCACTAGTATGCCTTAATGTGGAAGTGGCTGATTTTCGAAGACATTCCTTTAATTTGAACTAACATTCATTTGCTGTTCCAGAAAAGTCTTTAATATATATACCTTAGAGCTGCTTCAATGATTCGGTTTTAAACGCAGTTACTTTATGTTTAGCAAAGCGAAGAAGACATTCTCCATTGGTACATCGCACCCCGATGCCGTGTTTGTCAATCACCCCGTCCATCGTTGCAGCATCGTGAGCATTCCAGTCTCCTTCCCCCCCCCCCCCCCATTACGATCATTTTTCAGTAGAGATGTTGTTAGCAAATGAAATTCCACAAAGAACTTATTTTATCGCAATTATCGCGACATCCACACGATATTTAGAAAGGGTGTGGAGTTATCGTTTGGTTCGCAACGCCTATAAGCGTTCAACATTCCAAGCAGCTATGGTCAACACTTCACTGAATACGCAGAGTGCCGATGGACAATTTCTCTTTACAGTTAAAAACTAATCGCAACCATGAGATATTTCGAGAAAATATACGAGAAAGAATATTATACAAGAATAACAATAATTATCAACTGATGTAGGACAGAGCAAACAGTTGACATGACCGCTCATATTCAATCAGTTATTCCTTTACAGTTCATCAATAATTTCACGGTTACCAATCGAGCAAAACTCTCTTATTTATCAAATATCTCTATTCGCAACAAATTTCACGGCTTTCACTGCATCATGTATAAAAGGGTTATGAACTAAACTGTTTGCTCGACATCATTAGTCTTCTACTAAAAGGTTACCTTCCAGAATTCCCTGGAATGTACTGTGAGGTTCCAAAAGGCTAGAGAAGATATTAGTTTCGATTCTTTCTTTCGATTGCATCTTTCGATTCTTCTAATAATATTAATTCTAATCATCGGCCAAACACGATACGCCATGCAATAAAAGAAAACGCGACAACTATGGAACCTATCTAAATCGAGATAAATTCCAGACCAATGTATGAAGTAAAAATCCACCCATCGCCACGCAAAACCAAAAACCAAAGAAAATTATGAAGATAATTATTACTTCAATTACCCGAAAAAGAATATGCAGATTTCCTCGAGAGCATGAAAATTATAAAAATTAGGAAAAAAAAACAAAAGAAACGACATTTGCTATATATGTGATATCTTCTCGTTATTTTCTGGAATGATTTCTAACCTTCTCGAATTTTAATTTGAAATTTAAAATACATAAATGTATTTAAATGCATTTTACTTACTAATACATCCATAAATTTTGAAATTATGAAGGAAAAAAAAAATAATTCTCATGAAACGACATTGCTTAAGATATTCAAACCACAAGATAATTGATTGTCGAGCTAAAATAAGGTGCTATTAGGTGCTCATCGTTTTTACAACTCTGCTTTACATGGAGCTAAACGAACTAGAAAAAGGACATCAGTAAAATTCAATAACGTATTCAATATCAAAAGTCTGAAAAAAAATATGAATCGAAGGAACTGGCAATATACTTTTCTAATAAAATTGAAGGAATAATTCAATATGATAAGATTTTCTTACTTTGTTGTGAAATCCAGGTATTCAACACATCACCAAAAATCAACAAAAACAAATAATAAAAATCTTTTTGGTGAGCGAGCCAACTGTCATTTATTCGCGAATCTCTAACCATTAACCATTACTCCCGGCTAAGAGCAAAGAAAACTCAGCGACCTAAAATAACAGAAAAGTCTTATTCTATATGCAGCTTATCGTCAAACGAAGAATATACGCCAGCTGGAAATAATCTTAAAAAGAAAATCAGCACTCTTCAAGCCTCAAATCAAATCAATATCACAGAATTCTCGAGCTAATTTTATGGCATAATTTATATTATTAATACTGAATGCACCATTAGAAATAACATACCAACCTGTTTCAACAAAAGCTTAGTAGTCATTAAGAAATTACAAATGATTTCGTTCAAAATAAATGACATGACATCGATGACTTAATGGCAAGATAATTGAGAGAACTAGGAACTAAGAGTGGTTCGGATTTGAATCCAGTCGAAGCACCACACTTCGTCGAGTAGCAATGTCGTCGAACAGCAAAAGCAAAAGGAAATAGAATGGCTTAGTGGACTAATATCATTTGGATGCTGAAGTTCTATAACCCTATCCTTCAAAAATCCGCTTGATATTCATGAGGAGTTCAGCCGATTCATGCCAATTTAACAAAGCCAATCTAATGGGAAATGAAGTGGATCTGTAAATCTAAAAATTTTACTAAACTGACCTTTAACTTACAATTTTCGTAAAAATCCTGTAAATACTAAAATTTAATTAAGCAGGCTAGATCTTTTGCTTCAATTTTTTTTCAAATCATCTATCTCAATTTCATCATCTCTTATTATTTCCCCATAAATCACCCGCTACCAATAATACTGTATCTTTATACGAATTGCTTGTAAAACAAAATTCTTTTATAACTCATTTAAATCTATCGAAATCAAGAAATTTCCTATTTCTTCTGCAGTAACCCTTCCAAGTATAAAAATAAACTATTGTTTTCTCAAAATGATCAACAAAAATTTCAATTCATTTTTCCTTTTCGCGTTAATCGGTCATTGTAAGGGATATGTCTGATTGAGTTGATAAGCTCAATATAAAATCACTTTAAATTCTTAATTTTAAATAAATTTTATAACACTTTGCTTGTGCAACTAAAAAGTACCACGAAATAATGCCTTACATATCAAAAAAAAACTTTTGGCATAAGCATTATATTTTCAAAAAAACCAGTGTAGGAATACTGAATAAATGTTATTTTCTATTACAAATCCAAGCTAAATACTTGTATTTTCTTTGGAAAATGTCGTATGTTCATAAATGGGAACTGTCGAAAAATGAAAAAATATGAACAATTTTTGTGTGAAAAGGACCCTAATGTAAACATATGATACAGAAAAGTTTTCTAAAAAGTGATGCATGTACAGACCATTGATAAGATTATCCATGAATTATTCTAGTAACGACTTCAGTTACCAGGATGATTCAAAAAAGGAATGCCAAGGAGATTACGCATTTCCTGACCATATTCACGCACAGAATCTTCTGTTTCTTTCTAAAATATTAATTGATCATCTTGAACAATATAATTTAATCTTGAACAATAATTTAAATGCAAAACTAGAAAAACAGTGGTACTCCCAAAACATAAACAATTTCAGCTGAAGATATTAAAAACTACACCTCGTTTCGATATTTCTCGTATATTTTTGCAAACTTGGTAAGGAATTCCTTTTTCGACACTCGATTTAGATAATCCTTTTCGATCTAAATGTTTCGAATACAAATAAATTTAATCATACACCTATTTTTATGAAACAATTAAAAAATGGAAATTTCGATGATGTATGATAGCGATAAGGAATTACTTAAAGCTGCTTACAGATTTACTAGTGATTTGATGTATTATTTCAATTACATGTTTTTCAGCAGCAGATCCTTCAAATTTCACTTCAATAGCGTCCTTTCTATCCGCAAGCTTCTCCCAAGGTTCAACTTTCTGAACAGTTACTAAGATTATTGTGAAATTAATTAAACCTTGACTATAATAACTAAAAAAAAATTACGCAAGGGAATATTCAATTCCATCGAAAATAAAATCAAAAGAGAAATATAACAAACCAATGATTCGTGAAAAAGGGCTGTGATAAGATACTCTGCATAGCTACGATTTTGTTTTCTTGTGAAACACCTAAAAAAATTACCAATATAGTTAATCCTTATGTCACTCCAACTCATAAGGTGATTCATTTCATTAATTCATAAAAATTTTGATGTGGGAGTTTACTGTGGTACAAACCTATCTGTAACAATAGTTATCGAATCCGTTTGTCCATCATATCGATTTCCAATAAGGCGAATGAATTTTTCACGTGCTCTTTCATTGGTGATTAATTTATTTAGTTTAAACATTACTGTAATGATTCTACAGCGATTGTCACGGATCGAATTTCCTTGATGAATGAAATCACTGTAGGATATGATCAAAGGAAGATATTCATCAACAAGTGAGCTTGACATTTCTTGAGGCCACTGTGTGCAGAATTCTGAAAAAAAATCGGTTTGTATGTTACAAAAAAAATTTCCGTCACTGCAAAGGGATTAAAAGATTGATTCGCCTTGGTAATAATGCCAATTCCTAGCAAAATCTGACAACATTTGTAACCTCACTTTTTCCAAAACAAATGTATATTACCAACTTTTTCAATTGAGTTCAGGCAACACTCGGCAAAACTGAGTAAGTTCAATTTGTTTAAGCCAAGGATAGGCTTTTGAAGAATTAAAATTTGCACCAATATTGCAGAAGGGCAATTAAAAGTTTAAAATACAAACTTTTTATTGCTTTGCAATGGCGTTCGATGGCAGCTGGTGTGAGATGTAAAAAATTGGGAATCTTCAGAAGTTCCAAATTTCCAACATGAAACAGTGATAAATAAATAACAATTCAATACTATGAACTAATTTCACTTGTCTCTCAGTTTTCTCTTATGCAAAAAAACATTATTTAATAAAACTTTGTCAAACGAGGAAAACTAAAAATATGATCAATCCTGTCCACCGCCCATCAAAATTATTGAAGCAGTAAAATTACTTTAAAAGGTTGCTTAAAGCTATACTAACCTAAACAAACCTGAGAATATCAATGAATCTAATCAATCTTAGATGCTCTGACTCTCATAAATTTGTTTACGAAGATTATATTCTCCTTTATTTTTATTAACTTGTGATTATTTTTGATTTTGTCAATTCAAAAAAATAATCACGGTTTTGAAAGGTATCCTTTTTTCAGGTTTTCTTCTATATCCCATTCTTACAGGAAGCGGGACGACAGAAGAACGAAATGAGGCAGCCACAGGCCATATACTTGGCCAGTCTTGATCAGTAATCATTTCTTTTGAACGAGGATTTCGTACCTAAAACCATTTTTTGGAATGTTAATAAATGGATTTAATAATTTTTAGAAAGTTTGCCCTCATAAAATGTAATTAATGAATAAATGATTTCGAAAGCGACTTACGGCCAATATCTCTTCAAAATCAGGACGTATTCTTTCTTGTGGAGCTAATCTCCCGATCAATTTCTCCAGTGCTTTTCGAGCTCGAGTTTTTTCTTTAGGCACCAAAAAAATTTCACGGAATGATTCACTCTAAAACCGTAAAAAAAAAGTTAATGTCAACGAAATGAAAATAAAATAGATAATGTTAATTGTACTTTAATATTAATAAATTAAAGAATGCAATTTGAGAGCAAAAAATTTCAAACAATAAGATAGAAAAAAATGAAATTCCATCAAACAAAATTAAATTTGCATTCAAAAAAAACCCAAATATAAACAATCAAGTAATTATTCAAATTTCGCATAAAGAATTGAAGGGAAAAAAAAGAAAATTAAGCTTATTTTTCATTAATATCTTCAAAATGTAAGTGGTAGCCTAATTTCGCATTATGCGATATTGGCATGTGCTGTCTTTTTTAAAAGTTTAATTATTCGTTTACCAGTAACTGCGACGGTTAGTGTAGGATATGTTAATAAAAAATAAAATTAATAAAATTTGGTTTATTAATTTAATAATGAAATAATTCGATGATGGAAAATGTAAAGAGAACAAGCATTAAAAGCATTAAAAGCATTAAGAGAAATGGAAAGCGGATAAAATAATTTAGCAGATGAATAAAGTATCACTACGTGAAAGATGATATATCATGGGCAAATTACTTTCTATTCAAAATGCATCGTTTTATACATAAATTCGAAAGAATTCAATTTTCCTAATCTTTTAATTAACGATAACATAACTAGATGGCTCGAATATCTCAGATTATGGCATAAGTATGAATGAAAATCTTTATTTCGACCTTCACTGCAGAACCATAGTAAATAAGTTCTCAAAAATACTAAATTTCTTTTTCGATCATTTAAAACAAAAATCAAAACTTTTTTGTCAAAACATACAAATGCTTATCCAAAGTGTTCAGTCTCTTCTTGAATATAATGCAACGTGTTATTCTCCAAGATACCATAAATCAAGAAAATTAATTGAAGGAATCCAGAAATATTTTACGCATGGCCTCTTTCTTAAAGCAAGCTTAATTATAAAACACAACTTCAACTATATAACTCACTCTCAATTCGTCGAACCAAGCAAGATTTAATTTGTTGTAAAATTCTATACGTCAATAGGTTAAATTTTGAACAAAGATTAAATGGGCTAAATTTAACCTAAATGAAAAATAAGGATGCAACTTTCAAATTGCATCATTAATTACTGGAACAAACTACCGAATGATGTATTTTGTATCATCTTTGACTATTCTTAAAAAAAGATTTAATAAATCATTTATGATGTTATTCAAGAACTATTATGCGATAAGTTTTCAAACTGTGATCTTTTACGGCCCGATTATGTATCATGTATAGATTTAGTTCGAATTACGAATAATTATTTTGCAACTCCTCTTTATTTTCTTTATTAAATTGTTTGTTTAAGTCTTATTTCTTTTTGTACTTTTATTTTATTTTTATTTTACTTGTTGTCATTAATGCAGGCACAATGACGCTTGTCGCCCTGCTCGCTTGATTTCAATAAACTTCAAAACAGTAGGAGAGATTATAGTAATTAATCTTTGCTTTTATATTTTACTGACATAAATAATGAAAACGCTGTGAAATTTGTAATTCAGTCCTTTCCCCATTTCTTCTTCTACTTCTTGTTTTAACAGCACCCAGAATCTCATGTTTGGCGGGATCACCTACTCTGCGACTTCGACAAAGAGCCTCAAGGAGATATAAATAAAAGCAAGACTCCAGTACCACCACAATTTCATTTCAATGATAGATTCATTCTTATCCAACCGAAAGAAATCGAACGTGTAATGACTTGGTTTTAATCGAGATTCAGGAGAAAAATTTGGCAAAAATTTGATGAAGTAGAAAGACGAATCACAAAAATAATAATTTTATGGTATCTCTGATTTCTTAATCTTAATCGAAGGAATCTTATTAATCGAGAATATGTTGGGGTGAAAGGATTCAGTGAACGATAAGAAAAAATCTGTCTTTAAAGAAATCCAGGCAGTGCTACAACTCACTTTTCTATTGCTAAGAGACTCCCCAGCAAAAATTTCTAACCGAATTAACAGTGAGTTGAATAAACCAAACCAGAAATTAACAGTGAGTTGAATAAACCAAACCAGAAATAATGAATCACTTCCTTATTTAATCTCCTTAAAATCGAATACAAGTCTTATCAAATTTATTAAAGGAAAAAACCTCATTATTGATGTGGGTTTCGACACTGCTTTCGAAAACAGAAATTTGTTTATCATTATTTCCATTTTGCGCTGCTCGTTTCACTCGCTCAGCGAGTGTCGTCGATTTATAACGCTTACTTCCCAACGAAGCACAGAATCGTTCTACTTGCAAGAACTTGAACATCGAAATTCGATTTAAAACAACGATTATTTTATCTGCTAGAAATGTCATCTGAAAATGAAAATCAAACGATAGGATTCCATTATCAATCAAAAATTTAATAACTCAATGGGATGAAATTTTGCCAAAAACCTTATTTTTGGCAAGCGAATTTATTCGAATTGTTATGCGCTACAATGAATGTGATTACATGCAACAACAAAAGCGCATTCTGCGCTCGCAAATCAGAGAATGAAAAATCGCGAATCCGATCCGATTTTCCTTAATTAATACGAACGATAAATTGCGATTATCTAATTAAAATTAACTATCTAATTAACTAATTAACCGCAAAAATGAAGAAAGGCCGAAAATATTTCGAAGAACAAAAATAACCTTAAAAATCCCAGAAAAAGTGACAAATGAAATCGAAAATTAATAGAAAATTTTTTAAAAATTTGTTCATATCAAATTAGATTCGCTAGCAATTTCTAATAAAGCTGCATTTTAGAGACAAAAATTTGGCACCAATCCAATATTTTGAATTGTTCGAGTAAGTTGGTAAATTAGGATGGAATTTGTCATGGAGGTGGAGAAAGTAACAAATGTGGTTTTAAAGGGGTTGCGAAAGAAATATTTGGGAGGTTATTTGAGGAGGGTAATTCTACTTAAGAGCAAAGGGAGAATTTCTGTTATCTGAGTTTCTGTTTCCGTAGAGGATCACTATGGAGAACCTGTTTCGGCTGGCACCGTATTCTATCAAGTTTGCTATAAATTTGCGAATGAGAAAGAGGAAACCAAACGGTAATGATGAGAGTTCCAGCGTTTAAAAGACGATTATTTTAGAATCTTTAAGTGGATGGAAGTGGGTGTTTATGCGCGACGATGCTTTGAGATTTAAAAAAGGCTGTGTGAAATGTTAGAACTCTCATATTCGGAGCTAACCTCATTCACTCTGTCGAAATAGAGATCCTCTCACCATGGAGTTAAAAGTAGTGGTTTCAGTCATTGTCGACGATGGCGCCGGACCGAACAGCTTGGAGACCTCTTACTCTTGTAGCTACTTGTAGCTAACGGAGCCAGCCTAAGCAGTAAGCCGTTAGAATAAGAAGACTATCAAAATACAGTCAATATCGTTTGTCTGTTCGAAGTCGATCTATCTCAGTTTTCTAAAAATTGAAGATGTTTAGTATCGACGAATTTACAGTTGTTAAATGTGGCATATTTGGTTATTTGGGTGGTTTCGCATCACATCGCTGTCTCGCTTGTGCTTGAAGAGTTAGGAAAGTATTCTGAATACAGATTCTAATCTTCGAGCTTTTGTTTTTGAGACATTTTTTGATTAAGTATAAAAATGACTCCGTCTTAGCGAGAATCTTTATACCAAATATATTGGTGCTTCACTTCTTTCTTAGAAGCACCTCTTGTTATATGCCTAGGATTTCTTTCATTGAGGAATAACAGATTAAGGAATCTCTTGTTATATTATTTTTAATGTTTCGATTTTGTGAATTACTGTCGTCCTTTCTTGATGTTGGTCATCTATTCATAAAATTACTATGTTGCATGATCATTGATATTGATCAGTATGGTTTATGAATAAATAGGGTGGAATTCTGCACCCCATCAATACTGCTGAGAATTTTAACCCTAATGTCGAGCTTTATGTGCTAATGCTAAAAAATGCTAGTTTTGAAATCACGAGATTCTTCTTCTTCTAACAGCTCTCACCATTACTGGTTAGGCTGGCTGCAACGGCTACGAGGGTAAGGGTAAGACTTCCAAGCGGCACAGTCTGATGATATCGTCGACAGTAATGGAAGCCATTCCTTTTTCCATCATCTAAGTCCATGTATTGCTGGTCTACCTATATCTTTTCTTGTTCAAAATCTTTTCTCACCGTATCAATCCAGGTCTTGATTGATCCACCTCGTTTTTGACGCCAACCATCACACGGTTTAGCAAATAACGAAATATGCGTCAACTCCTGTGGGCGATGGCGAATCTGCCCTAACGAGCGAAGGCAGCGCTCTGTGATAACATTATTAATGCAAGTGGTACTTGGACGAAGATGGATGCGATGATGTGATATCTTATCCGCTCGATGGATCCGTAATATGTACCTTAGACAAGAGTGTTCAAAGGCAGATAACTTCTTAATATCCTCCACTCTCATTGGCCATGTCTCAGGACCATATAACAAGATCGAACGGATCACGGCAATATAGATGCGGGCTTTCGTTTTTATGGTGATTTCACGACGACTCCATAAAGGTTTCGTCAACCAGAAGAACCCATTTCTAGCTGCTGTCATCCGAGTTGTAATATCATCTTTTGCCTGCCCATTTGGTATTAGAGTGGACCCAAAGTATTTAAAATGGGGCACTTCCTCAACCGGCAATGAATTCACAAAAAGAGGCATTTTATCAGCTTCTTGCACAAACGAAAAGACGAAAAGACTTTCGTTTTATTTATCCTGAGTCCGATTCTTGCTGCAGTTTTGATACGTTATTTAGTATTACTTGCATTTCGTTATAATTGTCAGCAAAAAGGACTACATTATCAGCGTATTCAAAATCTGTGATACGATGCTTTGGACTAATTCGGACACCTCTTGAGTGCCGACAAGCAGGTGTCCATTATCCAGTCTATCGCATAGTTGAATATTGTGGGGGAAAGGACGCAGCCCTGACGGACACCTGTTCTTATTTCGAAGAAATCTGTCAGCTCCCCATATACAGACCTGCGCCGAAGTGCGCTCATAAAATGCCTTAATTAATCTAATGATTTTCTCTGGAACACCGTCACATTCCATCATCCTCTAAAGCGCCGCTCTATCAACTGAATCAAAGTCAGCCGCAAAGTCGATGAAACACGTGATAGTGGGTTGCAAATATCTGAAACGATATTCCAACATCCTTCTTAACGTGAATATCTGGTCAACACAACCGCGCCCTGGTCTGAAACCAGCTTGATTAGGGCGCATCCTGTTGTCCCGTACTTTCATAAGTCTGTTGAGTAGCAGGGAAGCAAAAATTTTTGCTGAGACGTCTAGTAGGCTGATTCTTCGATAATTATCGCAGTATGTCCTATCACCTTTCTTGAGAATTGGAAGCAGAATTTCTTTGTTCC